TTCCAGGACGGTGGTGAGGAGGTGTACGGCCCTGACTTTCACAGCTTCTGAGGAGAAGGTCTTGGTAGCCGACAAGTCTGGAGATGTCTACTCCTTCTCGGTGTTGGATCCACACGGATGTGGCAGACTTGAACTTGGGCACCTGTCTATGTTGTTAGATGTGGTATGTGGGGGATGTGCTGAATTAACGTCTGCTCCAGGCCAGGTCAGGTGGGGCAGAGGCAGGAGGGTCTGACAGAGGAGGGGGGCTGGGCCTGTGTACCCCGAGCACCTGAAGAGGAGGGAGGGGCTTTCCTGTAGTAGAGACAGCCATCTGCAGTCCAGGGTGGTAGAGCTGGGATCAGACCCACACAGGGACAGGCAGGAACAGTGGAGGAGGGATGTGAAGGACCCTCACCAGGACTGGGGGATATGTGAGAGAGGAAGGAGAGGAGGTGACCCAGGGGTACTGGAGACAGGAGGGGTGCGGCAGGCATGGGACAGACGGAAAGAAGAAGTTGGGTCTGGATGTGCCAGGGGCAAGCGGATGTCCAGATGTGGCTCTGACCTGCCATGGGAACCCATATAGAGCTGAGGAATGAGGGCTGGAGGTGGCCCCGGGACCAACCAGAGAAGGAGGAGGTGGCCAGCAATTAGACTGCAGAAAAAGGAGGGAAGGCGCCTACACCGGTCTATCCCCGGGGCCTTGTTTTTTTGGCTCTTGGGCTGCAGGTGCCTTTTGGGAAGCCTTCTACAGCGGCTTCTGTGAGGGACTAGGTACTGGAGAAGATCCAGGCGTTTCTGTGGTGCCACATGAACAGGTAAGTGAGCAGCTCCACTTTTCTGACCCCCTTGTGATGCAGGCTGTGAGTCCCGACGACCGCTTCGTCCTCACTGCCGACCGGGACGAGAAGATCCGGGTGAGCTGGGCCGCAGCGCCACACAGCATCGAGTCCTTCTGCCTGGGGCACACAGAGTGAGTCTTTCTGCCTGGGGCACCTCTCTGTGTCCCCTCCTCTGCTAAGAGAAGCTCAGGTTTAAAACAGTAAAGGTGGAGCTGTGGGGCCAGGGAGCTACTGGTAGATGGCCAGGTACCTCCTTGTCACCTAGAGCTGCTTAGAAACCCCTTTCCTAAAGGGACCTGGTTCTTCTGCCAGCCCTGCGACAGCTTGCGTCTCTGTGTGCTGCCCCACCATCGCGGCGCCACTCAAGCCAGGCCAGAGCCATGTGCCTGGGCACTATGTGCAGACCGTTGGTGTGCCACCTACAGACATCCAGTGTACAGAAAGTGTGAGACAGGAGCGACTTGGGGCCCCTTCACATCTGTTATCCCAGGCTGGCCTCGTGACGAGTGCTTGTTTCTGGAAAACTCCTGCTTTCTCAGTGTAGAGACTTCTGGTCAATGCCCAGCAGTTGTTAGCCATCAGTAGGTGGGTGTGCTGGGGGATGAGTATTAGGCTCTGAATCCAGGTATTTGTCTACGTTGTGATCTCTGTCTTCTGACAAGTGAGCTCTCTTTTAGGAACTGAATTTTGATTTATATGGGAGGCATTTCTGGAGAACATTGCTCTTCCAAAGCAAAAGGCTAATTACACTGTGCACAAAGGAAAAGCAGTTGGTTTAATTAGCTGAAATGTTTTTAAATATGTCATTTGAGGCAGTAGAAGAAATTGGTGGGGTTTATTTCAATTCTGAGATTGCTCCTTTTTTCTTGGTTTTGAATGGAAAAATGCAAAAATGACCTTTAAGAAGGTCAATGGTCTCTCAGTCTGTAACTTGTGCTAGCTTAGTTCTCTAGTAATCCATCTCCAGACCTCTTGTGACTTGCATGCCCCAGCCTGCTCCCTGCTGTTGTGTCTCACCGGGGTCTGCTCTGTCCCTGACCCCAGCAGGCACACAGTCCTGTCTCAGGGCCTTGGCACGTGCTGTTTCTGCTGATGGGAGTGCCCTTCCCCACACAGCTCCTTGCCCTCCTGCACCTGCTCAGCCGTCTGCTGTTGCCACCTGTCTCCTCAGGGGCTTCCCCGACCTCCTGTAGGGAAATACCCCATCCCTTGGATATTTTGAGTTAAGTAAAAATGTAGCATTAGAATTAATTTCACCTGTTTCTATTTCCTTTTTTTTTTTTTAACATTGCAGTTAGCAAACTTAAATCAACATCTGTGGCTC